AAGTAAACTTCTAAGAAGTTTAAAGTGGGAATGTAAAGGCCAAATATTTACATGTGCTCTATTTTATTTTATTTTATTTTTTTTTTTTTTTTTTAAATATAAGAGCAAAAAAATTAGTTAGAGTAGACAGTTATTCCACCTGAGGAAATGATTATTCTAAAAACTGTTGAAAAATTTGTAAATAAATTTTTTGTTTTAATGATTCCCAAGAGTAGCACTGGGACTTCACACTATGATCCTGGACACTGTCAAAGAAATAGAAATACTTTGTAATAATTTCTTAGACATTTCCCATGAATGCTGGAGTTATACATCATCCTGGTTGAAAAGTCCTGTCTCTCTAAACTAACTGAAGAATACACTAAGAGTTATACTTAAACTCATATATACTTTATGTATACTCTTATACTTTAATTTTATTTAAAAGGAATGTTTGTTAAAGCTACTGCAGGGTATGTTGGAATTGAAACTTAATCAAGATTTGTGATTGTGTATGTAAGGTTGATTCCTACTAGGAACAGATGGCACTAGAAGCAGACAGATGACAAGTTATACAGCACAAAACACCTATTAAAAGATATTTTGCAACTGTGATCTTGAAATAATGAGAGTATATTAAAATGTTATTGCAGAATTTTGTTTTGAAGAGCAGATAGCTATAGAGGAGTTTTTATGAAGGGGGAAGTTGCATTCAGGCTATTTCAAAAAATGCTTTAATTCAAAGATTCCAGATCAGTAGATGTTGAACTATTTGAAGGGCAAATTGAAGTTATATTCTGATGTACTCTTGGAGGAGTCATAGTCTGGTTACAGCCATCTTACTGGATATGCATAGGATAAGAGATTTGCCTTTAAGGCATCTAGCTCCTTAAAACTCACTGTAGTTGTATGTGGTTACTCTAAATCAATTACTGAGACAGAACCCAAACCAGGAATAAATTAGCTCAAAGGACACTTACTAAAAGGATACTTTAAAAAGAGGTAGGTTTGAAACCTGCATCTTTAAATTAGGATAGATTTCTCCATTGTAGAAGTTTTGATCCATGAAATAAGCAATGAAGCAATTAAAGCTTCTGGTTTAGGTCAAAAGAAACAAAGGTGGCATTACCATTGTTCTAGGTTAGATTATGAAGAAGCTCAGAGTGCCACTATCCATGTCACTTTATTCCAGATTTGGTTTTGGCAGGGTCAAAAGGCCTTTTCCTATGCATTTCTCATATTGCCACTTTATGCAAACTTCTGTGTAGATGAAATGCTTGGAAAACCTGATAAATGGAATTACTGGGAATGGCAGGATTATATCTTCTTCACTTAATGCAAAGGCATACATGGATATGATGCTGGGGCTTTTGTGATGCAGAAGTATCATTCTGAAAACTGATTCTTTAAGATCTGAGCCCTTTTATTGCTTTTTAGTTTAATGATGAGTACTGACCAATATCTGGAATTAAACTTGAGAGTTTCTTATTGGGAATATAAATTCCTTTGTTGTTTCCATGGGAAACAAGTTTTAAAAAGGTAAAAGCTCTCTTTCAACTATGTAAAACCTGCTTAATACAATCAGTGTGATCTGTGTCCTTACTACCATTACAGCTGATTTAGAGTTGTAATAGTCCCATTTGCCGTGCAGATACTTGAATTAGAAAATGAAGGTGCCACAACACTTGCTTTTCTGTGTTGTAAATACTGCTGCAACACTGCAATACTTGGAATTAAATCGTACCAACAGTGTTAGATTTTACATTCTGTACAACAGTGACTATTATGGACAAAATCCCTTCTCTAGTGAAATTTTTCTTTTAGTGTCATTTAAATGTATGAAATTAAAGGAACAATATTAGGACCAGTATTTACATTAGTATGACAATACCAGTGGTGCAACATTTTGGCTTCCAAAGTTCCTTGTTAAGGCTGAAAGCTTTCTTAGTGTTATTTAAAGTAGTGCTTTATATGCAGCAATTTGTATTCACAGATGAAATTTGTTACTGAAATGATGACTTGTTTTAATAAAAAGTAGTTGATTTGTTCAGAAGTACTTTAGTAGCATTTAAAATACAGAATTCTCCTTAATTTTATTCAGATTTCATTTATTAAAATTCATTCATTAAATGTAAGTCTTCAGATGGAGCAAAATGAGAATTTTCCTTTAGTGGAAGTAAAAACTTCATCATGAAAGATTGCTGAATGCAGTATTTCTGCTTTTTTTGACAGGTTCTGAAAACCAGGTTTTTAAATACTAAACAAAAAACCTTTTGCACAGAGACATTAATTTTTTTTTAAAGTGTTTGGAAGCATCAAAAAAATGCCAGCTGTGAAACCGGAGGGAAAGGAAAGGCCAGGGTTTCTGTCAAAGCACCCTCAGCATGTGGAATATTTGTGGTCAGTAGATACCCTGGGGCTTGGGATTGTTGAAATTCCAGTCTCTGGAGTTGACCCAGAAAGTGACAGACCCTAAGTGTCCCAGCAGTGCTGCCCTGGTGCTGCAGAGAGCAGGGACATGTCCAGCCTCCTGCCTAGGTATGCTCCCAGTTTGTTCTCCCTGCTGCAGAACTGGGAGCTGGGCTTTGAGTGTTTTCAGTTTGTCAGCTTAAGAGCAGTGAAACTGAAATATTTGCATGGCTGGAAACTCACGGCTTGGAAACAGAAGTGGTGGAGTGGAAATGTTGCTTGTGTTTAAGCTGCTTTTATGTTTGTGTCTTGGTGATTTCAGGATGGGTTTTCACTAATAGAAGTTGGATTTTTTGGAAAGTATGTCTGAAATTCATCAGAAGTTTGGACCATGGATGTTTCAGGAAAATGTATTTGTGACTTGTTGATGAGTGCAGTTCTAGATAAACACCTTCCTTCTGTCCACTGTTTTATTGGAAGATTTCTGATTCATTCTGTCACATTGGTTACTGGTATGACTTCTGTCACTGAGATGTTAAAAAACCACAAAAGAAAACAAAGTCACCAGCACAGGTGTGATGATCATTTTTTATAATAATGAGTTTTGCCCATTGAGTGGGGAATGCAGTTTTTCTCATGTTCCTGTTTATATGCTGTCTCTACAGAAGAATGTCTCTAAATCTATGATGAAATTGCAGACAGTATACTGTCATACTCCTTCTTATGCGTTCCCTAATCTCTAGTTTAAAGGCTTTTTAGTATTATCAAAAAGGCTTCAATGCCAGCTACCTATAGGAGCTCTGTTTTCCATACTGGAGGAATAAAAAAGGATTTTCATTGCTGGCTGGTCTTTACTGTCTTTCAGCTGGGGAAGCAAGTTTAATGTTTGCTTTTCTTTTTCCTTTGTGCTTCTGATATTTTTCCTTTTTTCTTGTTTGTTTTTGGTTTTGTGGGTTTTTTTTTTTAATGTGTGTTTTTGGTTTTGTCTTTTTTGTTAGGTTGGGTTTTTTGGGGGGTGGTGTATTTGGTTTTTCTCCTTTTTTTTTTTTTTAAGGGTTGTTTTTGTTTTTGTTTTTTTCAAGATAGCAAGTCCTTAGTGCCAGGGGCCTGTCTTTTTTTATCCTAGATGTGTAAGCTGCATTTGAGACATCCTGGCAAGAAATTGGTGAGGTACTACGTGGTGTTAGTGATAAGTGTAGCATTGATTCCTTAGGGTGCATCAGTGTCAGGTTTGCACTGCTCAATTTGGAATTTCTTGCGTATAATTCAGATATTTTGTTAGGAAACATTGCTAATATGGTGAACTGTGTAGCTTTAACTTTTTCTGAGCAGGGACTAGGCAGGGAGTGGGTTGTTTGGGGCAAAGGGTTGTGTGTGTGGTGATGTTTTTTTAGAGGGGGTGGTTTGAATGCTCTGAATTCTGAAGTTGTCTTTTATGTTTCAGAAGAATTTCTTGGGTCTCAGCTCCAGTTTTGCTCTAAGATCTTTCCTGCCATGAACTCTGATTTTGTTCTTACATGATGCTAGCTGTCAAGTCAGGATTCACTAAATAAGGTTATTCTAGCAAGGGAGAAGATTGCTTTTCACAATAAAATGTCAATAGAAAATGTGTGTTAATTTTATGATAGTCGTGACACAGCAGTTGAATTAATAGAAATGTCTTGCCACTTAAAATTTCTTGCTGCATATTATCTTGATCCCTCACCCCCGGTGTATTTGAAACTCTACTAAAAGGATCTAAGCAGGGCTTAGGCCAGAACCAGGATGCTGACTGATTATCTGTCTCTTTTCTGATTTCTCACCAGCCTTCCCTCAGAGAGCAAACTGGTTGGTTCTTGTTCATTTTTATCACTCACTGTGATGCGATCTTATTTTTCTGATTAAGCTATAAACTGGTGCAGGGAAATTAGCACTGATCCTGAAAGAGTTACGAGATATTTTGTGTGTATCCTTCAAAAGAGTGACTTCATTGTTATATATTGGCATGAATAAATAAAATCTCTTACTGGTATCTTCAGAAGGACCTTAGATCAGCTTGAACTAATTAAAAGTACTGAGTGTTTCTTGTGGAGTGGTTTTTTTGCAAAAGAAATTTCACCTATGTCTTCTCTTTGCATATTTACAGTAAATGAAACAGTTGAAATTGGATTCCACTATTTCTGCCCCTAAACACTCTAGCTTCTTTTCTATTTTCTATTAAAATAATAACTTCTGAAATTGCTTTAAATTTCACAAAGAAAATGTTTCTCACTAATTGTTGCATATGACAGTAACACGGGTTTTAACTGTGTAGAACAGACTCAAGTTCTTGTCTCTGGAGACACGAGAATGGTGATTTATAACTGGTGGGTTAATCTAAAGATGTGATGAGCATCCTGTGTGTGTCAGGAAAATAGTGGTTGACTATGTGGGTGTTAAGAGCTCCTTAGGGAGAAGCATGCTTGTCTTAGTAGATTTGACTGATGTCTTTAGAGTAATTATAGTTTATATGTATATATGATGTACAATATTTGAAATATGAACTTTTATGCAGTATTTTTTCATAATATACAAAATGCTAAACCATACTTTTTTATTTTAAATAAAACCTTTTTTCCCCCCTCTTACCACAGGATAATGAGAAAAGGACCCCTTTACATGCTGCTGCCTATCTGGGAGATGCAGAAATTATTGAACTACTTATTTTATCTGGTATGTTCTGTTCCTGTTAATGGAAAACAAATAACTCTATGCACACCCAAGGAAGTATTTATGTACATCTTAGTCTGTGTAGCTTTCGTTGAGATATTTAATGTACTAGAAATTAAAGATGCTTGTACTGAAATTTTGGTTTCCAGATTTACTAGTGTTACAATACTGTGTATTTCTGTAGTTCTGCTCTAAAATACTTCTTTGTAGAAAGCTGTCTCGGTTATAGCTATTTTTATTTGTAGCTTGATCAGCTTTCAATAGTTCAACACTAATTTAAAGAAGTAATAGTGTATATGGTACAGGTAGGTGTTAGCAGCATTGCTTTAATTCTGAAATGCCCTTCAGAAAAGCAATTACAGTTGAACATAAAGATGCCATCCAGAGTTGGTAGTATTATTTTAAGTATCTTTGCCTGTTGGCTTGAATGCGCAGAATATAATTAGAACTAGCTGAAAGTGTTAAAGTTTTTTTTTTTTCCTATTTATTTGTACTAATAAAAATTCCAAGTTCTGTAAAACAGTATGCTTTGGATTGTATATTTGGTTGGTTTTTTTAGGGTAGAAAACCAAGAAACTAAACCAAAAACCTGAAGAACATCATGACAGAAGGACTGAATTGACTGTCTTTGATCTTGGAGAGACCTACCCATCAAGTAGCTTGAGGCTGAATTCATAATACAGAGCTTCAAGCTTACACAGAAAGATGAAAACTTGTAGCAGTCCCACAGAACTACTTTAATCTTCAGTCTGCTTAATTGCAGGCCTTACCTGTGCAAAGCTGGCTATTTCTACTGCCACCACCACCCATCAACCCCTTCTTACAAATTCTGCTTGAAGGAAATACCACATTTAGGATTACAGGAGTCGCTTCCAGACCTTCAACTGAATTTGCTAGGCATAATTTAATTTGTTATAATTTTAGTATGATGTAATATTTTTGTTATATATGTTACTTGTACTCTCTCTGTATAAGTATAGAGAGAGAGTACAAGTAAGTACAAGAGTAGAAGTATATATTTATGCTATATTATGTATATCATAAATATACATGATGTGATATTAATTAATAGATCTATTGTTTGGACATACTCTATAGTGACATTTTGTCCAGAAAAGTTCATTTTTGAAAAGGTGCAATGTTTGAAAATCTAAAAAGGTGCCATTTTTCCCTATCAAGAAGAAAGGCAAGTTCTGGTGGCTCTTGAAAATGTATAGTGACTCCCTTAATCAACTAAAAATGTTACTTACTTCGCAAAGTTGTAGTCAGCTACTTCCGAGAGGGAATCTTCTGTCAGGTTTAGCTGAACACAGTCTGTTTACCAGATTGGTGATAGAACAAAATACCCCTTTCTTGGGTGAAGGGTTTATGGAAGGTGAGGAATTCCAGTTCAGATGGAATGAAACAAGATCCTGGCTGGGGGGGAGTGGTGGGAGAAGAAATATTAGTCCTGCTATTTGGGCACATAGCCTGGGGTTAAGCATAAGGATCAATGGAGAACAAAGAAGGGAGGTAAGAATTAGAACTGTGCAAGTAGTGCAAAGCTGAGAGTTGCATGAAGGAGAGGTTGTAGGTGCTGCAGTGTCTGCAGATGGTTCAGGGAGGATGTGAGGCATTGGTATGGCCCAGGTAACATTTATTTAATGAAAATCGAGATTTGCTTACAACAAAACAATGCATTAGATAGTTGCAAATCAAAAGCTCTGAAAGCTGTGGCGATGTCAGTCCAACCTTGCTGTGCTCATGTGCTGTGCTGTGGACTGCAGTACCAAGCTGTGCCTTGCTGGAGGGGCACAGCCTCCTGAAAGTCCCAGGGAGAGGCTGCACTGGGAGTGAGCCAGGGTGGTGCAGTGAGGGGTGCACAGGTAGGTGTGAGTTGTTGGCAGATTTGTGAGTGAAGAGAGGCATCCATTGCGGGGTGGAAGTGATGTCTGAGTGCTCAGGCTCTTCAGTTTGCAAGGCTGTGCTGTACTTGGGCACAAATCTGTATATTATCTGCCTGCAAGCAGTAGTTTTAGGCAAGCCTCCTGAATATTTAAAAAGTATTCACCAATTTAGTCTTCCCCATTTCTGAATGCTGAATTTGAAATCTTTGTGGTTGGTGAAGTATGAGCACTCAGCTGTATCAGAAGTGCTGAGCCAGCTGCTTCACAGAGAAATCAGGTCTAAGTGTCTCAAAATGCACAAGCTATGATTTGTCTTTTAGCTCTCTTAATTGAACGGTGAGGAACAGAGGTTAAGTGTATTTATCCTCTCCATTTCATAAAGATAAGGAAAATTCATCTGTTGTGTTTCAGCTGGAAATCAAACCTCTCCTTTGAGACAGATGTATGATGTTACATTTTGTCGTAATAGATGAGCATTAGGGAGCAAATAAAGAACATCTGTTAGTGCAGCAAGGCTTGAAAACTGTTTGTTGTGTTGCAAGACCTTTTTCTTAAAATTGAGGAGAGTGTTTTTTTTAATAAATAGTATTTCTGTGCAACCATCTCCTCTGTGCAGTAAATTCACATGCAAAAATTGGGTTATGTGACTTTAACTGACCTATTGTAACATAGCTGCACAAGGGATTAAATGAAGTGTAGACTACTTTCATCCTAACATTTCCCACCTTGTGAAACCTTGTCTTTGCAACTTGTAAAGTCCTCTAACATAGCTTTGCTAGAATGTTACCAGGAACCACTTTACAGTTTTCCTGCTGTGCAAACTATTCTACAAAGACTGTTTGCTTTGATGTTTTTATTCTTTCTTCAAACTAGACCTCAAAATGACTGAAGTCAGTATTAATCTTCCCACTATGCGGTGGCTCATACTTGATTCTTTCTTTTTATTCTCTATTCTTAAAGTGTTATTATAGACTACTTACACATAGGTTTTTTAATTTGATTGGAATGTCTTTTTCATCCTGCTCCAGGGGATCCACATTGCTTTCAAATAGGTATTGTGGATCACATTTTGCAGTCACAGTGTGTTCATATTAGTTTGCTACAGACCTAAGTAACCCATATTGCACATCCTGAAAATATAATTGATCCAGCCTTTTTGCAGACCTTTTTTGGAGTAAACTTTCAGTATCAAAAGCATTCTTACTTAGTTGTTAAATTCTTGAGATATTTTTCTACTAAATCTTAAGGTTGCTCTGTGACCTTTCCTATTGTCTTTCACCTGGACAGGGAGTCTGAAGGTGATGGTCTGCATGCAGGCTCCAAACATAAAAGAAAAATTGCTTTACTGACTCCATTTTGGGCCTGGATGTTAAAGTGCCTTTTTTTTTTTTAATTTTTCTTTTTTTTTTTTTTTGAGATGCTGAACACTAATAAACTTGTCCCCTGAGGATGTGAATGTCTTACCAACAGTTTTTTCATACCACTGTGGTTTGTGGAAGTTTAAATTTTCAGATAAATTTTCACTTTTGGATGGTAGCTTGATAAACAATTAGCATTCCTAGATTTGTTGTGTAGGGAGGTGACCAAGAGGAGGCATGAAGATTATTTATAGCATCCAGAAGGATAGAATACAAGTTTATATTTTGCTCACTTGAAAATCATAATATTAGAAGTATTTTCATTTTTGTATTACTCTGGGAAGAGTAGTAGCACTCATCACAGTTGTATTTTTATGACCTTTGTACAGCTCTGCATCCTGGTGCACAAATACATCTGTCTACTTTGCATAATTGCACTGACTTTATGAGTGTAAATGAAGGCAAACTATTGGAAAGTAGAAAAGTATAATAGTTAAGTCTTAATTAACTAAATGTCCAGCTTTTTGTTCTTTCCAAGAAGTCCTGATTAAAAAAAATCAAACCTTTCTTTAAGTCTGGCATGTGAACTGTTCTGGAGAGGCTTCTTGCTTTATGAAAAAATCGTTCTTTCCAGCTGTCCTATGATTTTTAATCATGAGAGTCTACTGTGCCAGGAAGTGGCATGTGAAAAGCAGAACAGATTAGTGTGATCACTGAATGTATTCTTTTGATTACTAACTTTTTCCATTTATTTTCTAAATATGCTGTGGAGATGATTATTGCTTTCACTGAAATCAATGTAATTCACAAAAATCAACATTTGAATTGTCTGTTGTTTTCCTCTGAATAGATTTAGTTACTATATTGCATTGATACTAAAATACTAACACAACACATTGCTGTTTGCTTAACCCAACATTTTCTCTGCATGAAGCTCAGTGTTACGTGAGTGTGGTCAAACTCAATCTCATTAAAGTTTGGCAGCCCACGAGTTTTTGTTTCCTCTGGGTCAGGTGGAAAATGTAAGAACCGTGCTGATGCTGGAAAACTGCCACTGTAGTCATAACAGATTTTGGAAGACAATAAAGACCCTTCAGTGTTACACCACTCTACCTCTGTTTCTTTCATCTAATTATGAATCTCTGTGAGTATTAGAAAGCCATGCCATGACAGTCACATAGCTCAGCTGCTGAAAGGCTCTTGCTGCTTCAGTCCCAGCAGAGTGAAGCTCCCTTTGTTGGGATTGCAGATGTACCCACAGGCTGAGGGTGTTTCACAGGGGCCCCTTTGACACTGACAGTATCTTTCAGCTGCTTCCTCTTCTTTTGACAGTGTTGTTGGCTGATGTTTTTCTTTTCCAAGCTGGCCTAACTTCCCCCTGGCAGCAGTAAAAGTCAGTTGCTGTGAGGAAAGTAGCTCTGATGTTCTTTGATAGAAAAAGTTAAGCTGACTCAGGAAAAGATAGAACTGTTCAGTGGCTTGAGTCAGTGAAGCTCGTGTTGCTCACTGAAACTCTAGGGAGTGGTGGCTGAGATGCAGCAGAAACTGAAATTCTGAAAGGAAATTGGCTTATATTGACAAATCAGTAAAGTCCTCGAAGGATGGCTTCAACTTGATTGTTGTTTTCCTTCCTTTTCTGGCCAGCCTGTCTCCATGTGTATTTGTTTTGTGGGGTTGTTTTGGGGTTTGGGAATTGTTTTGTTTGTTGGTTTCTTAAGGAACAAAAATTAAAACTGTTCTTGAAGTCTTACTCTGTCTG